TGTGATGACTCTATTTTATGAAACCATTCTATAGCGTGTATATGTACACATCTCAATCCACAACCTTTTTAGATAAGAAAATATAACTAGATCACCTTTATCACCGGAACCCTGGGTTTACATCGACTTGAAAATATGGCTAAATCGAATCGAATTGCAAATCAACCATTGAGCAATATAGTTTTAATTTTTAGTTAATAGTTATAATTTTTTTAGGTCACATAGAGTAATAAAAGCACTAAACGTTTTGATTATGATATTCAGATAAGAATTGCTATTGCATACACTAATACTTATATATTGTAGAAAACGGGTTCAGGCATACACCATGTAGTCTCAGTGCTATACAACACGTAGACTATTGTGGCGAAATCTTCAAAACAATGTATGTTCTTGATTCGGGTCAGAGGAGTTTCCGTATACCGAAAGCTTTATACGGATATTTTAGTTTTGATTTTGCTTGCTTTTTTTCTTACTTGATAGACATTTCTCCGAAATTGAAGACACTCGTTAAAATATTTTTTTGAAATATATGGCAGGGGAAGATCTGTCTCGACTGAAACTTGCCTCAGATCGTTACATCGATCGTTACACTCGTTAAAATTTTTTTTTTTAATATATGGCTGGGGAAGGATGACGTGGTGGTAGAAGAGGGTTATAGGATATATATGTAATTATGTAATGTGGTTAGTTTCAATAAAATTAGTTTATAAAATGTAATTCTTTACMGATATAAAAAGGGAATCAGAGCGAAGACTCAAGGATCGCAAAAAATAGAGTCTGAAACAATTTTGACTTTTCAAATTTTTGGTAATAACCATGTGCAGTAGCATTCCATCTATTCCACGGATGCTTATGTAGAAGGCCAATTTGATTTCATAAATCATTAGGCTCCCTGTGTTAAGAGAAGTCCTGGAGCCAAGTCTGAATGGGAGCAATTCCCGCAAATGTTGTGTTTATAAAAGCATTTTCGATTTTTTCAATGCAGACAGATTTTTCGAACCATCACAGTATCTATGGCTTGTGAATCACCACAAAACTACGTGCTTGTTGACTGTGAAGTTTGCCTTAAGCAATCTTTGCGAGAGCTTAAAAGCTTGGAACCCAAAGCGCTCCTAGCTGTTGATTGCGAAGGGGTCAACTTAAGCAGGAAAGGAGAGCTTACGATTGTCACCGTGGCCACTGAAGAGAAAGCTTACATACTTGATGTTATAAAACTCAAGCAGGCCATGTTTGACGAAAAGGCCCTCGTGAAATCTTAGAAAACAAGTCAAAAGAGAAGTTGATGTTTGATTGCAGACAAGATTCAGACAGTTTTTGGAATCAGTATCAAGTCAAGTTGACTGGAGTATTGGACGTTCAGCTTCTCGAGGTGATGCATAGACGCGAAAACTCTGCGAATCCCATCATGACAGCATCTTAAGGCTGATTTACACGGCACGATTGTCTCGTGGGATTTGTAGTATACGACTTGAATCGCGCAGTGTAAATGCCCCTACGACTTGTCTACAACAGTCGTACGCAACCTACGACTTGTAGTAGGATTTTGAGCCACTGCTTAAAATCCTACGACTTGTAGTAGGAAAATCGTATACTACAAGTCACGCGCGACAAATCGTACCGTGTAAATCAGCCTTTACAAGCGACGAAGTATGAGAGAAAATGAGGTCGAAAACATTTATGGTTTTCGTCGCTGCATTAAGCTGTATATCAAAGATGAAAATGTGCTTAAAACTAAGAATGAAGGTAAAAAATTGATTGAAACTTCGACAGAACTTTGGAAACGCAGACCTCTTGTCGACTCTTTGTTAAGCTATTGTGCAGTCGATACACTTGAACTGTTYAAACTGTTTAAGAAGTTGAGAAGTGACAACAACGAAGAGCTCACTCGACTGAGAGTTGCCTCAGAGCGATACGTGGACATGTATCGTGGTAAAACCAAGAGGAATTTTGACGATTTTGAGACGAATGCACACCTTCCCTTGGATATCATTCCCGAAAAGGGAACGCTTACATTTCCGTTGGCCACTACTCAGTGCGTCGAATGCAAGCGACTTTTCCCACACGAAGAATTTAGCAAAACACAATTACGAAAGAGTGAGCAAAGATGCAGAGTTTGTAAAGAGGTAAAACGTAGAATTGATGTWCAAATTAACCGAGAAGATAATTGGRAACGTGAATAYGAAGCTTCAATGAATGTCTGGGTTAGCGATGACGACGAACCTGGGTATGACTCGGGCTTCAGTTATTTTTGGTGATGTTGGACGACGTTTGTTTTGGTCTTCTCGTGGCTGTTCATTTTATCTTCAGAGGCTTCCCAAACTATTAAGGAATGGAATTGATTGTCAAAGGAGAACGTACGATTGGCATCATGGCCGATGAAGAGAGAGCGGAACATACATATTTTATTACATTATTAATACAATTAAGAAAGCAGTATTTTACAGTGCATCTGTATTTTAACACTAAGCTGGTATGTGCCTAAACGTTTGTATTAAAAGAACTCAAGTCTATTAA